TACGGCTGATTTTAGCCGATGTACGGCTGAAATCAGCCATACCAGCCTGAAGTGAATAGCTGAACAGTGTTTGGCTCACTTCACTTCAGGTCGGTCATTCACTCGGCAGCCTACGGCAGCTTAGTGAATTGACCCCTATATATACTACTCCATACAGGCAATGTGAAAAGGTTTCCCTGCTGTGCCAAGGTGCATTAATGCATTATTGGCAGGACAGGCTGTGTATACTTATATATACACTTATTGACCCCCAAAAAGTCACCACCTGGATTTAGCTAAGCAAATAGGCAAGAGCTTTCCACTGGATAAGTTTTATGATCTTGGATTGCTTCAGTTGATCTGGTCTAGGTTTAGCAATGTTATGTCCCCACAAAATGAGGTCAGCTGCCTACCTGAATATACTAAATTACCCTGATGGCACATGAATATTCCTAGATGACAATGCCAGAATTAATTGGGCTCAAATTGTGAAAGAGTGGTACAGGGAACATGAGACATAATTTTAACACATGGATTGCCCACCACTGAGTCCAGACCTTAATCCCATTGAACTCGCTATCTTTGGGATGTGTTGGAGAAGACTTTAAGAGGAGCTAATTGTCCAATTAAATATTAGAGTGCAGGACTTTTTTTGGGGAGGGGGGCTAGGCAGTGTGTTTTAAACATTAAAGTAAAACTAAAGTATAAACGTTTTCTTAGATTTGGATAGAGTTGTGAGGTGTTAGAGCCACTGTCAGGTTTATATTTCTGTGTCCCTGCTAGGGAAGCTCACTCTCTCTTATTGTCATGATCACCAACACCAACAATTAAAGGAACAGGAAATCCAAACTGTCACCATTCTGGAACCTGGTGGAAATCATCCAATGGGGACATACATTTCTAATAGGGAATTTCCCTCACTGGAAAAATATCCTATCATTTCCTGTTAAGTCTAAAGGACGGGAAGTGAAAGGAAGTCTCGCTGATAAGGCACAGATTGCAAAAAAAAAAGCATGATAACAACTTTAACACTTCCCTACACTATCCAAAACAATGTTATGGCTTTAGATATACTTTAGGAGAGATCTACAAAACAATAAGCCTCATAGAACTTTACTACAGCACTATTTATTTCTCTTATTTTTAAGATATTTTTTATTCGTTTTTTTATTTTGGAGATTTAACCTCCCTGGCGGTATTCTCGAGTGTGGCTCGGGGTTCATTTTCAGAGCGGTACCCCCGAGCCACACTCGGGATTGCGCAAAAGTGTCACTTACCTTGTCCCTGCGAACCCGCGGTGTCCTCTGCTGTGTTCACCCGGCCGATGCCGGCATTTGGCTTTCAGCTTCGTTTCGGGCGTCACAGAATACACACAATACAATGTAATCTGCTATAATTACATATATATATCAAACTATTTCACTTCAATTTTGTCCATAGAGCTTTGTCTAGTGCCATGCCGGCACTTTTACTGTACTTTATTGACTGTGGTACGGATCAGGCAGCGCCCCCCAGAATTCCCATTTACTGGACCATTTTTTTAATTATATTATATTTTTTTATAATTATTTCTTATATTATTATTTCTTATAGTTATTTATTATATTATAATTTATGATTTTGTGTTTCAAACTTTATCATAGTACAGATTTAGTGAGCTATTCCTAAGATTTACTAAGAATTACAGGCCTACAATATAAAACAACAAATTGCCCTAAAAACAATGTACCGCTTTGGCATGCTAAAATCCTGCATAATCAGACCGCCAGGGAGGTTAAAAAACCAATACACACAGAAATATAGGGAAAAGACGTACATAATGAATGTACAAGTCTGAATACAACTCCAATGTTAGAACCACTTCAATAATGACCTGTATATCTGTCCTATCCAACTACTTCAATAGTGATCTCAATTATGTCTCAGCCTAAAAGCCATAACTAATCAGTATTTTGTTATTCATCAAAGGGGAACTCCACCATGAATTCCCTAAATGCCAAAGTATTTTTTTTAAATGTTTTTCCCCTCTGTATTTAAAGATATACTTGTAACAGGACATTTACCCAAGTTGTCGACTCTGACATTGTGGGATAAACTGAGACCTTTTATTTAATAAGCAGCAATTTGTGAGCATAAAAAATGAGTAAACAAAGAAAAATTGCCATATGATTAGTCTAAATAAAGTCACCAACCACTTTCAAAATGCTCATTTTCAGATCACACATAGTTGGCAATTCAAGTGGCATAAACTGCATGATGTCTGGCTGAAACAGATATACCATTGGACACTCCAAAATTAAATGAAAAATAGCCCCCTAAATTCAAAATACTAACAACAACATGCAAAGCCTTCTATAACTCTGCCCCTGGCCACATCTCAAAACTCATCTCAAAATATAACCCACACTGTCCTCTCTGTCTTCTTAAGACCTCCTGCTCTCCAGCGCCTTTGTCACCTCTTATCACGCTCACCTCCAGAACTTCTCCAGAGCTTCTTCCATCCTCTGGAACTCAATACCACAACCTAACAGGCTATCTGTTCACCTTTAGGCAATCCCTGAAAACCCATATCTTCAGGGAAGACTATCCCACCTAAACATAATAACTCCTTTTACTTCTTCCACTAACTCATCCCATACAATTATTACCTTTTGTATTGCTTGACCCTCCTATTAGATTGTAAGCTCTCATGAACAGGGCCCTCGTAACCCTCCTATATTGAAATTGTATTGGAACTGTACTGTCTCCCTCCATATTGTAACGTGCTGATCAAACTTAATAACCTGAATAATAATAATAGTAATAATAATAATAATAATATTAACAACTGTATGCAGGTATCTGTAGTTAGGCTTTTCAAGCTATAACATCTAACAGCTATGTACTAACTATGGTGTACAAAATTAATATGTATGAATGAAACAACTTGCATCTCTAGGTGAGAGAACTGCGTATGTGAAACATTTTATTTATTCACAAAAACATTCTAGGTCCTTGAAATAAATAAAACACACCCAGACCCACAAGAAAATGTTGCATAAATCATGTGGCATAATGAATACTGAGCATTTATGACAAATCCAATATGTAGGAAGAACAGTGTTAAAAAATAAATTATCAGGAAAAAAAATGAAGAAATACAGATGAAATGATGTTAAGATGGTCACCTCATAAAAGGGTACAATTAGACACAAAAGGGCAGCTGGGTTACCAAGATAATAATATGAGTATTATTTTGATTAAAAAAATGTCTCTGTCCTGGTTTTCATTCTCCCTGAATAGTATACTTCTGTCAAGGCCAGAAATCTAATTTCTGAATTTCTCAGAAACAAGTGTCTTTCCCCAGAGGAAAGGCAAACCTAAGGAGTAGAAATAGTGTTTGCTATCTGTGTCATCCATTTTTGTGACAGAGAAAATGTTCTAATGCATTGGTCACCTGAATTATTCAAGTTCTCTATGTCCGAAATCTGACATGTGTGGTGAAGAATGAATGGGACATCTAAAGCACAAATAGACTCCAGTTGGAATAACTGCAAATCATGGAAATGTATTGTGTCCCTGAATTTGTTTTTGGAGAAACACTATCTTTCAGATAAATGAATTCATTCTGAATAATTGTGCCAGGCTGCACTCCAACAGGTTGGGTAGCCTTGCAACACAGGGACACATCTCTAAATGACAAATGACTGAAGAGATGGTGGCAACCACTGATTATATGAGGCTGGCTATACTGGTTAGAAAAGAAAGCGTATATGGGAAAAATTCTGTCATTACCAGTAGGACCTATGCTGCATAGAAGAGTGTAAGGCTGCGGAGCATGTTCATTTTGAATATTTGAAATTTCTGTTTTTGGTAGATGCTTAAGAGTTAAACCACCTGACATTTTTCCAGGGCATCCTTTTGGTGGTATCGATATTTTGGATTTATTGGGTCTGTAGTGCTGGCCATGAAGGCCCCATTTTCCTGTGGAGTTTTATTCAAGTTATATGATGAAGAATGCAATAGAACTTGCTAGTGAGAGCACCTTTAGCTCCCAAATGTTGGGAACGATGTCCGGGAGATCTTCCTGTTGAAGTATCTAAAACACATATACAATGACTGATGCAACCTCTACCTAAAATATATTTAATAAATATTTAAGTGGAATGACCTTTAAAAACACTGCACATTCAGGCGCCTAAAAGTGGAACATTACAGTCGTTCACCAGAAAGTGGAATATGTGGTCCCCTTAATCTATAGTGGTGTATGGCTTTACCATCTCTCTTCAGTCCTGTTCTTGTCTCTTTCCCTTCCCCTCTATTCCTTCTCACTGCAGCAGCCTCTAATACATTGTTATACCCTATTGTGTTGTTTACCGGGACAGCACCGATCCTCGCTTAATTACATTGAGTGTGCTGTTGCCTTTTCATTGTCCTATTGTTACACTGATCATGCTTGTTATTTTTGAAAATCCAAATAAAAATCTAGGAGGCCAGGTTATTATTGACCTAACCAACTACAGTAAGTGCATACCGGAATCTGCCGTTCGTAAATGTCAGACAGTACAAAAATGAGCTAAACATCAGAAGAAGAATAGAAAGGTTATCTGTTTAACTTCTCTTTCTCTCTCCTTTAGAGCTTTATATCCTCAACTGAATGACAGTTGTGCTTTAATAATGTGCAAAAAAATCAATATTGTGCGGTAAGGAACACCACACCACTGCACACCTTTGTTCTATGCACTATGGCATATGTTGGATAGAGTGTGGAAGAGTTAAAGTTTTTTGTTGTTGTCTGTGACCCCATTTAAGAGATTTCTCATAACTTCCTGTGTAGCCACTGGGGAAGTCTCCATCTGGGATACGTAGAAAAAATTATAGTGCTTGTCTTTTGAAGGAGTGAGGAAGGGTTAAACCTATGTACGGTTATTCTATTATATAGTACATAAAGTCCATTTCCTTATAATAACTTTTTTAACATTAGTTGTATAATAGATCAAAAAATAGAGGAAAACATGTTTTATTACGCATCCTTTGCTCACCTTGAATACACAGGCCATCTGTGCAGTTTTCAGACTCCTGGCTCAGGCCTTCACAGGGTTTTCCTCCATTTGCTGTTGGTGGCATTGTGCACTCTCTTTCACGTTGGTGTTCACACTCAAGGCTACAGATAGACCACTCACTCCACTCCTTCCACATTCCTTCCACTGTAGATCAAAACAATAATTTTAACAGCATTACAAGCATTCCTTATGAAAAATAACGGCAATGGCATTTTTAGATTTCTATTACAAGATGCCAGACAAGCACATATGTCATACTTGCATGGACGTTATGGAAACCTTTGAGAATTAAAATATGGGAGACTCCATTACTCACGAGAAAGTTCTTCTAACTGCATACTCACCAAACTCAGACAACTAATGTAACTCACATAATGTATATAAAATAACTCAATGCTTGTATAACTATATACATTACATACAGAATGCATGTGTGATGCAGCATTACAGCTGTCCCCTTTTACTCTGCTGCTACATATACTGATTAATGGTTATAATCCATCATTAATGCAGAGTAATATCAGCGTCAGCATCACCATTCAGCCCTGATGAAGGAGTTTTGAGTCCACTGAAATGTGTTGTCACTCTTACCGTCACTAGCTCACTTCTCGATCATCTCCCTGCAGATAGCCGTGACTGTCAGTCACGGGCTCTCTGCAGGGATTCCCCCCTCCCCGCTCCAATCCCCCAGCGCTGACTGGAGGAATGGACGGGGGTGGATACAGCGGGCTCTGCCTCTAGATAGACAGAACCCGCTGTCACTCACGCAGCTGGGTGGATCTCGACAGTAATGTCGGGATCTGTCCCGGCTGCGGCAGTCTCAGTACACCCCGAACAGTAGCTCGCGATTTACAGAGCTTTGGGTCACGGGAGGATGCTAGTTTATGTCCTCCCATGAGCCTTAAGAGAACTATGGGGAAAAACACTTACCCCATAGTTCTCTTTTAATACAGGTGTGTTCCTGAGTCTACAAACACATGAAGTGCAGGTATAAGGACACATGGTGGATGATTTACTAAAAGCAAAGAGGCTGCTCACTTTGCAAGGGATTTTGCGCTTTGCAGGGGAAGTTTCCCCTTAGTTAAGTGGATGTGGTGAAATTTCATTTTGCAAAAAAATACCCAATCATGTGCAAGGAAAATTTAAAAAAACAGTATTTTTGCTTGCGCATGATTGGGTGATGGAAGTCAGCAGTGTTTCACCTCATTTACTAACTAAGGGGCAACTTCCTCTGCAAAGTGCAAATTCCTTTCCAAAGTTAACAGCCTATTTGCCGTTAGCAAAAAACACCAAATGAAGTACAACTATGTTCCTGAATGTATGAAAATGTAACTGAGAATTTAGGATACATGACGTAGGAGAATAATGAACATGAAGTGTCCTTTCCCAACAGGTAAGCTTATTTCTCCGTTTCTTGTTTTTCACTGTTCCCCTTTTGATTTTTCAATTCACGATTAACAAGCTACCTTGCTAAAACAGATGATATTGCTGTGTATGAAAATTGTTGGAGACTTTATAGCGCTTACAACCAAGTTTATGTTAATGCTAAGCTTGCCTCATTTTCCCTCAAAGGCAGCTGCCACAGGAACAAAGCAAAGAAAAAAAACAACATTTCTATTGTGTTTCCAGTAATGGAATTCATTCCTTGTGTTTGTTGTATGTATAATGTGTTTGAGTTATTGAAGCATTTTTTTTCAGCAGTACATATCAATCATTTTTAATGGAATCTAAATAATAATAACTGTGATTCAAGATCCTTCAGTCAACTGAAAATATGTACATAGAAATAACATTACAATCACATATAACGCTTTCTACCTTCAATACTTGAATTACTTGTTTATGATTTTAACATTAAATTAAAAGAAAGGGGGCAAATAATCTGCTTTAGCATTAAATCCACTGCCATGGCCCATATGGCCGCTAAGGACCTTTGTGGCAGGCAGGGCCATGCAAAGATCTTCTTATGACAAACACTGCTAGATCTTGGAAAGGTAACATCTTTAGTACACAACATGCTAACTTTCCATTCAACTAAGAGATCCTGTATGTACTTCAAACAGGCCCAGACAAACATATGTTTCTCATTCATTTAGAAAGGTGTGGATGCAGTGTTTTATAAAGTGACCATGGGGCCAACAACTTAGAAGAAGCTGACATCCCAAAAGAGCATGTGAATGACTTTGCAAAATGCACACAGTGTTTTAGACATTTGTAGGCCATGTTCATTATGTTTTACATGCTGTTCATCTTCTGAGTTGTTGATCTCTGCAACAAAAACATTTTTTATGTCAATTAGACACATCAGGGAGATGTCTCCTCACTTCCTATCCCAGTGGTATCATTGGGAAAATGAGTGAGGGAAAATGTGTTAAATATGTTTGCAATCCAGGCTTGGTAAGCTCTAGTAAAGGTTACTGTGTCCACTCATGAATACTAATTGTGGTGATAAGTAAATAAATTAACATTACCCAATCATGCCAATCAAGGCATTCCTGTGCCTAGTGGTAACTTACATGGTCAGATGCTCAACACTCCATGGGGTCTATTCACGAAGCAGCTGAAGGATCTAGCCATAGATTCGGCCGATCCTTTGGCTAGCTTCAGCCCCAGGACCCCTTCGGTTCAGTAAAACCGAAGGGCTTCTGTACGGGCTATTCACTATAGCCCGTACAGCTCCCGAACTATTGCAAATTGAAATAGCCAATAGAAATCTAGCAATGCATTCCTATGGCCAAAAATGTATTATTTTTTTTTCTATTCTGACACGGCTCCGTGTCAGAATAAGAAAAAAAAAAAGAAAAAGCAGTGTTTCTCTCCTTGGCGGCCAGGAGCGGGAGACTCCCGGAGCCCCCGGGAGAGTTAGGCTTTTTTTTTTCTTTTTTTTGACGGGAGCAGAACCGCCGGCCAATAGAAAACTGTTGGGTGGAGCTAGCTGTCATTGCTAGCTCTGCACAATCATTTTCTATTTTTATTTTTCTACTTTTTAAACTGTTTTTCTGTTCTGCTCGGTCCCACAGAGAGACCA